TTGATAACATTTCTTCATGCTCATCTGACAGTATGGTTTCGAATGCTTGCCAACTTAAAATGATTCTGAAATCAAATGAGGAAACAATTTTCGCCGATAATACCTGCATCTCTTGCAAGACCCTTGCCGATTACAAAGAAATGAATCCTGAATTGATTTGCACAACTGGAGATGGTTTTCCAACCATTATAGAATCACACCAATCTTACGATTATGAAATTAAATTCACAGAGAGCAGAGAAGAAGCAATTCATTGGATGAATGGCAAGTTATTCAATTAAGGACTTTATTAATCTGCAAATCCAGAACCTCCATGGCTTGAGGAGCCACCTCCACCACCACCACCTCCTCCTCCAAAATCATTCGAAGTGGTATAATTGGTATCATTGAAAGAGGAATAATTACCACCACTCCCATCACCACCATTTCCTCCACCACCTCCACCTTTTCTATTCCTCAAAACACAAAATAATATCAGACCTGTAAGGAGGAAAGTTCCACCAATTACACTAAGGATAATGGCTGCATTGATGGCACTTTGGTCAATTAGGCATTTATCGTATTGGTTGGAATTGGTACGAAAGGTTACGGATGGGGTGTATTGAGAAATGAGATTTGATTTCTGATAGAAAATGGAATATTGTTGATTGGAATTGAGTGTGAGAATTCCATTGCTGTCAGGAGTTGGGGGATTTGAGAAATCAATAGTGGAATCAAAGATGAATGTGGAATTTAGATTTAAAATCTTGTAATTATCCTTGTAATAATACGAAACTTGATAAGCCTTTTGACTTTCAGTTTGGAAGAAACTGTTCGATCCAGAAATAGTATACGAAAGTTTAAAGGATAGTACAGTTATTCCATTTTCAGGAGTTGACGGCTCCAAATACAGTACTACATATGGACTTTCACTAATTTTCTGATACTCACTTCTAATGTTATATCCATTATCCGAAACTAAAGTCACAGAACGATCATATGCATTGGAAGCGAGTGGAGGTAATGCTCTTCCAATTCTAGAAAAGGTTCCATTAAATTCATATTGAAAATATTCAACAATTTTCAATGAACAATCTCCGTTTCGAATATAAATTTCAGAAGAAAGTGATTGTAGTGAGTAGGATTTGGCAGTTGAAGAATTGGTCATGGCTGCTAGCAGCAGTAAAGCTATTAGAAATGCAGACAACAGGACGAAGATTCGCATTCTAATATTTTTTTTAATGTGTGTGAAAATTGATGTAAATTAGAAAGCTAATATTTGCGCGAGAAATAATTGCATTCGCCATTTTGAGAAAGCATGTTACCTGATTTTGATTATAATAACGAACTTTTCATTACATAAATTTTGTTGTTCTATCTACAAACAATGTTGTAAATAAAGATGAAGAACTGAGGTGGTGCCCTATTAAAAAAAAAATAATAATTATTTTGAAGGGATATTACAAGACGTTGGGAGTTTTCCAACAGAAATTAACAATTCATGACATTGAGTGAAATTGCAGATTTAACAAGTCAAATAGTGGTTAGAACCTGCACCGATTCTTCGGAAGAATTGTTGAATATTTTGATGAATGGTTGGAATGTATTTATTGTTGTATTTATGGATCGGTGTAATGGAACACATTCATTTAGTAATTTCTTTCAATTCATTAAGGTGCAACACTTGAACGTCATACGTATTACTCAATGTGTGAACACCATAATCATTTGAAAGAAGCTTTACATTATTATTAATGCAAACGTTTTCTTTGAGATATTTGGCTGTCAAAATAATTTCCTCATCCCATGTAATATCTCCAACCAACATGCTCCTAATATATTTCTGAACATCTTCTACAGGTTCATTATGTCTCAATGAACCTAATGAATCAGTAATTTGTTGTAGAGCTACTATTTTTTTCCTCAAAGCATTATCATTCTTCAAGCCATCCAATTCTATAAGAACTCTCCTGGGGAAACAAACTAACTCACCTAATAATTCAATGTAATCAAATACCTTTTGAGTTTCATCAATTTTCATGGTTATCAAAATATTGGTGTCAAACACCCAAATGCCAGTTATTGGTTTAACTAAATGATGAACAGTGCTG